AGGTCAATAAGAAGCCATGAAGTGAAAGACTGTAATGGTGTCCTTCTTGAGTGGAATTATGGACTTAGGGGTATCTTGGATTGAATGCTGTGAAACTATATCTACGAAAGTCATAAGATCTATCCAAATAGTTCTTGGTTGGCAGCCCTAGTGGACCCATCCTTGGAAGAAAAGGGTATTGTGAGTTTGTAGGGCATAGTGATGGTACCTTCTCTAATACACCTAGGGAATGATTACTCTATGATAAGAAATGCAAAGCACCGTGTGAATATGCTCTACTTTAGATTAGACCAGAGTGCAAAGAAGCCCTTTATATTCCTTACTATGTGCCAACATGGGATGATTACTAGTTCTACTTTTGGCAAGTGGAACACCTTCCACGGTGTAGGGTTTTATGACACCGGATTCTATACCTATATATTGTGGTATATGTCAGTTAATTCCTTCTCTCATCATATGGGATGTGCATTCCAGTATTGGAGAAGTTCTACAACGTCTAGTTAATTTAATATGATGCTATCTAGACATGGCACGAGTAGGCTTTCAAAGTTGCTAGGATAAGTTCCCTAGGTCCTCCAAGACAATTATGTGAAGTTCTCTAAATTCTTAAATAGATTCATTAATAATTATGACTTAAGTAAATTAATGTTTAATAAAAAAGTTCTTATCTAGGGTAGCATTGGGGACTGCTTAGGCAGGCTTGAAAGGGCTTATGGGCGGTCTCTTCGTGTCTTACTTAGGTGAGTCTTAGAGTAACCTTAGGTAGAGTGTTTTAATGATGAAATGTGAATAATGTTAGTTTGGGAAGTCTTGAGGATCACTTAGGTGTGTGTGAAGAGGTTTTATGGGCGGCCGCTTCATATCTTACTAACGTGGGTTTTAGGACGACCTTTGGTAGGACGTCTATATGTTTATATGGTTTCTAAGTGATGATAGTTTTATATTGTAGATTATATGTGTATTTATTTTATGTGAATATTGATTTGAAAATAGTTTATATACTTGTTTATGAGGTTTCTATCAAAAGAGCATGAAAAGTACATTTTAAAGTTAATGTCCGTTTTTGCATGGTTTTATTGCATGCCACAATACTTAGTGCATTCAATGTGCTAATTTTATATGTTATTCTATTTATAAGAGTTTAGGTGGCAAGTGAGGTTTTTTTAGAAGTTGATGTTAGGGAATAACATTCTCTCAAGATTAGTATGTCCTCATATAATCGAGAAAATGTTTATTTTTAGTTTCCATTTTCAATGACTTTGTAATAGACTATAGTTCCTTTAAAAAATTGGTTTAAGTGTTTTGAGAATATTATATTATGTGAGATTAAGACTTCTATGAGGAGACATATTCCTTCCTTATTATTTTATAAAAGAGTTTGACTATATGATGAAAAGTTTCAATTCCGCACTACTTTTCATATATATACGATGAATGATGTCTAAGGACTTGTATAAGATCTCCAGGAGGTCGAATACTCCATATGATGACTTGAGGGTGCTCCAGGTTCGTTACATATGAGTACATAGTACCCCTTTAGGTAGGAGGTGATACCCTTTGTGTTGTTTATGCTTTGTCTCGATATTTTTGATTGTTTTTGTTTGCCTTTTCAGGTTTTTGTTTATTGTATGGATTTGTCATTTTTATTATAGTTTTGTGTTTGTTATATTTGATTCTTTTTGAAATAATAAATCATGGTGATAGTGTTTCATTCTTGTATGCGTTCAACAGTGGAACTCTAAGTACTCGTTGCTTGTGAAATTCAAAGCGCGTGTAAATGCTCGATGAAGAGGCTTGAATTTGTCAAATGATAGATTGGGTGACTTTAATTTTAAAGGAAAATAATAATTTCTTTGTGGATTTATGGGGCCTGGGTATGAGATTGTGACTTGTTTGGTACAACTAGCCTTAGTTATGCCTTGCAAATCATAAATGAGCACCCCTTTGAAATTTTTATTAAAGGAAAATGGTGGAAGTGAATGACTTGGTAAAAATGTTTTGACTCTTTTAGTGACTCTAATTTTCTAGGTGGTGAAATTAAAATTAAATCCTCTCTTCTTTACTACGTAGGGAAACTGATACATCTTGACTAGTTTACAAGTCATGTGTGGTGAGTGTTAAAAACAATTTAATGTGTTAACTTGTGTTAACTAGAACTTGACCCGTTGATCTTGAAATAGTTGTCTTGATTAAATTATGTTGGAGAAATGATCTTTTGAACTCTTTATTAGATCGAGAAGTTCCATTTGGTCTTGAAATCCCAACTTTGCACTAAATGTATCGTTACTTGTCCCTTTTGAGCCTAAACCCTTTTTATTGACAACCACATTACAAGTGTTATCCTTTTTTTAAAAAGTAACCCTCCTTTGAAATCTCCCTTCCTTGAACTTGAAGTTTTAAAATTTGAGGCTAAAAACCTAAGTTAGGGGTATTACTGAATAGTTATAGAAAGGATGTTTTCTATATCAGGGCTTCATAAAAAAGTGAGATAAGAATGGAGGAAAAATCTTAAACAATTAAAAACATTTGAAATACGAGAGAACTTTTGAGTGAAGGATAAATTAGTTAGATAATTTAGTGGTTAAGGCTCCATTTTAGGCTATTTTAAGAAATGTTGTATGATAAGTGAGGGATTTTGAATAATTTAGTGCTTAATAATTATAATTTTAGTGTCCTCAATGCCTATATTATGCTCTAAATTGATGCTTATGTGTTAATTTACAACTATGAAGGCAAAAGAGCAAGACAAGAACATTAGTGAGCAAACGGGAGCATAAAAGTTGAATCAGATGAAGAAAAACGAGGTTGAGGATCACCAAGACCACACGACGATTCGTAGAGTGGTACTTCAACTCGCCTAAAGTAACAGTGTCCTAGCCCTGGTAAAAAGCATCATAATGGTGGAACAAAGCCTTCAGACACGTGCCGATTGTATTGTCAAAGGAGTTTCATCCCACCTAAAGTTACAGAGTTGTTAGTGAAGGTACAGGAAGATATGACAAAAGGAAAGGACAATTGTTGCATCGTCAACTAGGTCGACGGCCTGACGCCAATAACATAAAATCACAACACATAAACGGTGAGTACTCAAGATAAAAAGGTGATGGATAGGAGGACTTAGCATGTCACCGAACGACGCCAACCTGGTCGTCGAACGTTTATTTATTTTACCGAATGACCCTATAGGCAAAAATTTGTGAACTTATAAATTGTATTATAAAAAAAGAGTCATTCCTATACATTCTAAATTTTTGTTTTTGATTAAAACACCATTTTTAGTAGTTTTGAGGAGAATATTAAGTTGGTTTTTGATTTTAAGTTAACTTCAAGCATTGTAAAGGCTCAAATCTCATTACCCAACTGATGGAGAACATAGTTGGTAATATTTTGTGACCCCATTATTGGGGGAGTAATTGCGATTAATTTGTTAAATTAGATTGTGGGTGTTATTATTTACTAATTTAATCATTTTTAGGAGTGGGATTGATTTATAACCGTGTTTTAACTCATGAATTGTAGTTGTGAATACTTTTCAAGCCTAGTTTTCTATGCTAGCTTGAGAAAGAGGTTTTCGAATTAATGTTATCATTTGACGATTGTAGTGATTGGTTTGATGTGGGTTCATCTTTAAAAACTAAATCTTAATTTGATCCTACCAATCTAGATCGTGAGAGTAGATTAATTGAGGTTTTGGGTTGTTAATTTAGAAATCTTATCCCCATCCTCTTGGACTATCGTTGGATCGAGAGAGTCCATTTGAATTCGAGAATATCACACAAGAGTATGTCTGACTTTGTTTGTTTCAATTTTCTTTAATAGGCAAAGCAACGAATTGGTAGGTCAAGTTACTAAGAGAATAATAACTTCTTTGGAGGAACTCACTTTGCTATTCTATGTAAATTTTTCCCTTTCTAGAAGATGTTGAAGTTGAGTGATCATATTCAGAACTTTAAGTGAATAGATGGGGAACTGATTTATGAAACATGGTTGAGGTTCCAAAACCTACTGCTCAATTTCCCACTCATGGACTTTTGAGCAATGTGTTGCTACAATATTTCTATCGGAATCTAAACTCTGTAAGCAAAGGCTTGCTGACAACTTTTTTGAGGAAGAATCATGCAACAACTTTTTGCTATAGCATGAACTCTCCTCGACGAAATGAAAAAGTTCAATTGTAATTGGTACACTAAGGAAGATCAAGTCTCTTCCTTAAATTTTTATGCAGACAACAGAGTAAGTACAAAAAAAAACTAAGAATGAGATGACAAAATTGTCAAGATTATGGCTTGACTGGTTGATTAAACACCCCATTTGAATACTTTATGATATCTTAGTGAAGGTGGATAGATTCATCTTTCCAGATAAATTTGTTATTTTAGGTTGTGATATTGATGCGGGGTTTCCTATTATTTGGGATAGAACATTCCTGGAAACTTCAACAACTCTAGTGGATTTTTGAGAGTGGTGAGTTGAAGTTTCGATTAAATGATAAAAAGTTTACTTTGAAGGTGTGCAAATGGATGAAGAAACCTATTGACATTCATGTGGTTTAATAGTTGATGTGATTGAATGAGCAATGACTATTTTAAGTGAAATGATCTGCATGGATGAACCCTTGTTGTTGTAAGTTTTTGATACTCTACTGGGACTAGATGTTTCTAAAACCAACCCATTGAAGCATAATATTGTTCTGAAAAATCAAAAGAACCCCCCTATTAAACTATCTATGGTAGAACCTTCAAGACTTGATTTGAAAGGGCTCCCATCTCTTCCTTGATATGTATTTTTTGGAGCAAAAAATACCTTATATGTCAAGATTGCAGCAAACTTGCTTGACTGGAAATTTAAATTGCTTGTTGTGGTATTCAAGTGATATATCAAGGTCATAAGATTGAGAATTGCTGATACTGTAGGTAATCTCTCGAGATTTGCACTCATCAAATCCAATTTGATAGTAATTATAATGTTTTTAGTTGTTGGTGTGGTTTACCTTATTGCAGATAGATAATGGCAAGTCTCATGCAATGTATACTAAAGAAAAGAGACATCACAGTGGTTCCAAACGAAAAAGGTTAACTCGTACCTATTCAGCCGGTCACTGGTTAGTGTATATTCATGGACCACTTTAAATGAAATGTATGGACCAAGAAAGATCATTTCTTAGTGTCATTTCTGTAATAAATGCTAGGCCTACGGGGGTGTGTATTGTGCTATTTTTGGATGGTTATTACGTATACAACTAGATTTTCATTGCACCGAAACATTAAAAGATTACTACTTTCATATGCCCCTATTGGACCTTTTCTTTTAATAGGATTTTCTTTGGATTGTGTAATGCTCTTGCAATATTCCAACGATGTATTCTTTATTTTTTTAATGATATGGTGAAAGACTCAATGAAAGTATTTATATATGATTTGTCATAATGAGGCTTGTTTTAAACACATTGTGGATGTATTAAAAAGGTGTGTGGAAACCAATCTACTTCTAAATTGGTAGAAGTGAGAATGGTAAATGAAGGCATTATTTTGGTTTATAAAATTTAAGGAGAAGGAATGCAAGTGGATAAAGCTAAAAATGAATTCATTGCCAAGTTCTCTCCTCCTATTTCTGTAAAAGGTATCCGTAGTTTCCTAGTGTAACATTTTGAAAGTTCCATGGCTTAGTATAGGGCCTCACTTTATGAAATAAGACTTAAAAGAGTGTTTCTAAGTTTAAAAAAAGGTAATAAACTCAATTTGGAAATGTTATGCTCGAAATATCAAGAAACGGACAGGAAGTCTGGAGACTAGTGAAATTGAACTAGTGTGTTTAAAGGGGTTTCAAGAGTTGTAATTAAGTTTGAACTAGTGTTTATAAAGTGGTTTTAAGAGTTATAATTAAGTAAAATTACGTGGAAATGATTGTAGTCTGTAGTAGAGAGTGTTTAGTATTGAAACGTTTAGCTACGATTCCCAAGGACCACTCTAAGGTTCCTTATAGAGGACCCTTGTATTTGACCCAAAAATTTGTCATTTGATAGTGGTAGTCAACGAACCAAACAATTAGTCGTCAATGGTTGTAGAAGGTGGGAACTTATACAAATACCAAGAATTCTCCAAAAAGGAGTATTTGACCAAATTCACAGACTGCCAGTACGGTCTGTGGTCTGGTCGACGAAGCATGAACGAAAAGTCTCCGTTGAAGCTCCAGTTCATTGTTTTTGTTTTAGGTTTAGTTGGCATTATTATTTAATTAGTTAGTGTTTTAATTAGAGGTAAAGGGATTGTTAAATTAGTTAGTTGGGGACTATAAAAGGGTTACAATTTATTAAACTAACCTAACTCTACTCAAATTCCCAAAACCCACTTAGCTTCAACTTCTCTCTAATTTCTCTCTCCCGAAATCTCAAACCTCCACCGAAGGAACACTAGAGCATCAAGGAGAGGGAAATTTCAACGAGGAATATATCCTAAATTCATTGTAAAAATCATCCCTAAGTTTTTGTTTCTTTGACTCCTGGGATTCCATTCACCAAGAGGTCTTTTCAAAAACAATTTCAAACTCCCCCAAGATTAGGGTTCCAAACTATAAAGGGGTTCTCTTTTAAAGACGAAATTTTTATTTAAATGTGATGAATTACGATCTTTTAATGTTGATTAACTATGTAATTATTGCTAATTGTTTGTAATTACATTAGATATTCCCTTGAACCCTTGTTCTTTCCTAAGTTTATTATATCTTGAAATTATATGGAAATTGTGGAATATGATAAGTATATGTATTATGTAGTATGATAATTCATATGCATTAATTATTGAATTAACCTTGTTTATGTATTGGTTATGCATTATTTGTTAATGGAAGTTTGACGGTAATGAAAGGGCAAGAAGGTATGTTGGTAGGTTTTTTCTTGAATTCAACTATGATAGACAAGTTACTTAGATTCTGATGCTTTTTTGTCTAAACTAAACTTTTTTATGCATTGGTTATGCATTATTTAGTAATGGAAGTTTGAAGGTCATGAAAGGGCAAGATGGTATCTTGGTCGGCTTTTTCTTGAATTCAACTATGATAGATGAGTTATTTAGATAGTAATGCCTCTATGTCTAATGTGTGGCTATGACGTCGATGATAAGCATTTACACTTCAATTTGTTATGAAGTATGTATGCATGTTATTATATGATTATTATATGATTGAAAGTAGTTCATATGATTATCATTAAGTGTTAAGTGAAAGGTTTACTCACTTGTGTGGTGTTTCTAAAGTGAAAGGGTAGTTCTCACTTACGGTTACCTATGAGCTATTATGATAATATGTTTACATAGTAGTCTGGTAGAGACTAATATGAACTTGTATGATGAGTAAAGATGATTACTAATGGGAATAAATGTTAAGCACTGAAAGGTCATGTAAATGAGATGGGCGTCTCACGTTTAGTAAGTTCGTCTCCCCAAATGGATTTCCTCATGTTTAGCAAGTCACGTATTGAACCTAGAATAAATGTTGTGGAGAGTACTATGACATCTAGATTGAGAGACTTTGTGAGGATGAATCGTCCTATCTTTCTTGGCTCTAAGGTGGGAGAATATCCCCGAAAAGTTTCTTTATGGTGTATATAAGTTTTTGAGTGCAATGGAGGTGACTTCTAGGGAGAAGTTGAAGTTATCTTCATACATATTGAGGGAGGTTTCTCAAGTGCGGTACACACAATGGAAAGATAAAAGGTCGGTTGAGTCGAGTCCTATAGAGTTGGAAGAGTTTAAGGAGGATTTCTTAGGAAAGTACTTTCCCCATAATAGGATGGAGGTGAATGTTGAGGCTTTTATTAATCTTAAGAAAGGGAATATTAGTGTTGAGGAGTATTCCTTTAAGTTTACTATGTTGTATAGGTAATATTAGTGTTGAGGAGTATTCCTTTAAGTTTACTATGTTGTATAGGTATGATCCATCCTTCGTTTCTAATCTTAGGGATGAGATGAGTAGGTTTCTGACCGGTGTTGCCGACCTTGTAAAAGAAGAGTGTCGTACGGCCATTATCAACAATTACATGAAATTGTCCACACTCATGGTGTGTGCTCAATCCATAGAGGAGTCTAAGCTTAGTAGGATTTGTAGAAACTTGAAGAAGTGTAGACAATGTGATCAAAACAAACTTAGGTTCAAGAAGAGGGCTCAAATTCAAGAAGAGCCTAGAGATCCTAAGGTCAAACTTGAGAAGGTTAGTGAATCTCAAGGTGGTAAGCCTACTTGTGCTACTTGTGGGAAGAAACACTATGGGAAAGGTCTAGTTTGTATTGTGAATTGTTTTCGTTGTGGTAGTGATAGACATAAAGTGATGGATTGTTCTACTATTGAGCTACATTAAAGGAAGGTAAGAAAGTTCATCCAAGTATTTCGAGTGATGATGTTCCAAGGAAGAATCACTTATATGCACTACGGGCTAAAGGATCAAAGTTGATTGATAAAGATGATGTTGGTAAGTTATAGATTCTTCTTTAGTTGTTATGGGTTAATTCTAAGTGATGGAGTATGGTGAGTAGTTGAGTTTTAATTGATTGCCGCATATCTTCTATTCAATTCAATCTCGAGAGTTAGAAAGTTATAGTAGCATGTTACATTGTTGCATTGTGTTTAGGAGTCTTGTGCGAATTGAATTTCATTGATTCGTTGCATTGTGCATTTCATGAAGTTATGATTATGTTTTAAATTAAGTTTATATGGATATATATATATATATATATATATATATATATATCTTATATTATCATGCTTTCATCATTAATTGGTTAAGAGTGAATTTTTGAAATTTTGAAGCATGCTCACTATAATGCCTACTGGTTTACTGTTAGGTTTTTGAAAATTTGACTAAATTTTTATTTTGTTAAAAATTGTAGTAATGTGTCTATAATTGATTTATTTGAACATGATAATGTTTGGAGAAGATGTTCCTCCTTGTTGAGATGAAGCATGTTAGTCTTATTGCATAATAAGTCGTGGATTAGTTTCTACCTTCTAATTGTGTTTTGAGTCTCTAAATGTAAGTGAAATGGTTTTTTCTCTTAAAAATTTGTATTGTGTATGGTGTGGTATGGTTATGTTTTGATATTCTTGAGTTTATTATCTCTTGAAAGTGTTTTAAAAGAAGAAACTGTCATTCGAGGATGAATGTTGTCTATGTGTGGGAGATTGTAACGCATCTTAAAACGACCTACGTGAAACTAGGGACTAACATATGTTTAATGATGTATTGAAGTCCATAATTGTTAATAATATTGTATATAGGCAGTATATATAGTTTGGAAGTGTTTGGAGATTTGATGTCCAAGACTTCCGGAAACTAGTCGAAGTTAAACTAGTGTGTCGTACTGTTTTGTAGTGGACTTCTGGAGGATGGTTTGCAAGTGAAATTGAGTATCGATGGTTCCTACACATATCGTGACATATAAAGGGTTGAACATCCAACAACAACATCCTGGGGACAAGACTAAGGGTCCCCAAGAGGACCTAAACATGGGACAGTCGTGGTGCCGCACAATCCAAGATGTGGAAGTGGTTGCGCGCTGCGCAGTTGACACTTATTAGGTATAAAAAATCTTGACCTGAGAATCGGGGATGTCACAAACCATTTTGTCTCAAAATTTTCAGGAAACAAGATTTTCAAATGCCTGCGCGACGCGCGGTTAACTCACAAATTTAGACACGTCATTTTTAAGTTAAATTTGAATTGGCTAAATTGTCTATTTAAGTTCAGGGTTATTTTAGGTAATTTGGGGATTAATTAATAAGGGTTATTGATTCCTTCTTTACCCCCAAACTCACTACCAAATCTAAAGCCTCAACTCAAGACAAAACCTCTCCATTCTTCTCTCCAAAACCTCCATTGATGAAGCTATGAAGCTCAAAAGTTAAAGACTGACTTTCTAAAGTTCTCTTCATCTATTTGTAGGATATTCATCAAAATTAAGGTATGACCTTCATCCTCGAATATCTTTTTTTCAAAGAGCCAATCTTCAATATTATTTTAAATGTCTTTCAATGTTGAACTTGTTCAATTTTGTTATCTATCCATGGTATGTTGCGTTAAATGATTTGAATATTTTTATTTTGATTGAGTTTTTAGTTTGATGATTTTAACCTAAAATCTCTATGAACCCATGTAGTTCATGTAACCAAAGATTTGACCACTTTATGGGTGATTTGATTATGTCTTTATGTGATTGAATTCTTATGTAGTTTGATAAGGGCTATTAAATTACGAATGAATCATTCTAGAATTTTTATTTAGCTCCCTAATTTCATGAATTCATGTTGAATTATCATCGATACCTTGTATATTGTTGTTATTGGGTTTAATTGATGATCCTATTCAATAGTAAGGGCCTTTTTATATTTTGTTGGAAGAATTGACTATGGATTGAAGTTGTGAGATTTGATTCATGGTATGTTGATCTAACGTCCTCTAAATTGTGTACTATAGGCTTTAGATAATAATGATGCTTCTTATGGTCCACTTATGGTGGCAGTGCTATACTTGTGATCAATGTGGCCTTATCCACATTACTTTATGAATTTTTTATTATGTGGCCTCGTCGGCATTACTTCAAGTATTATGAATTTATCATGTTATAACTTTATTATGTGCATACTATGAATGTAATGATGACTTATGTGTTCATGTGGAGTTAAGTGGAGTCAAAGCATGTGTTCTTCTAGTAGGTAATGTGTGTCTCTTGTAGGATATTGTGTAGTCATTATGGGGATTACTTGATGTTGAGGTATGATGTTTCTTGATAGATTTTATGATACTTGTGATACATAAATTGATGATATTATAGTAGTGAATCAGTTAACTTATAGATGATGTTGTTTATGCCAATGTGCTATAGAATGATATGTTATATGTGTTATGGTGAAGTATGTTGTGTTTTGTTTTGGTTGACTGCTGTCTCTTACTTGATACATGTTCAATGTGAATATGTGTTCTTAACTTAATATGATAAATCTTATTGGTCTTCTATGTGTAATTGGCATGTGACATTGAGCATTATTAAGAAGGTCCTTTATGTGGAATATTCAACCTAGTTGGGGGGTTATGATGTTGTTGAAGTTTAATGTCGTAATGGTACCATTCTTGTGTGAATGCTGGACTTAGGGTTGACTGGCTGGAATGACATGAAATAATCCTTAGGAAAGTCGTTGAGATATCCCCTTTTCCATTGTAGGTAGCGTTTGAGGACCCTCTTTTGTATGGTGTAATGCGATTGGGTTGTGAACTCGATATGGAACCTCTTCATGTACTCCATTATTGAAATAACCTATGAGAACAAAGGCTAGAACCAAGAAAGTATTGTTTGGGAAGTAGCTTAAGTACAAAAAAACCTTTCACATTTCTTTACCCAGCGCCTACATAGGATGCGTCCTAGTTCTACCATTGGCCCAAAGAACAAACCTCGATTGGAGTAGGTTCATGACTCCAAATTCCATGCATAGCTAGTATTGTCTATATCGGTTATTGCCAATTATCAAAATGTGGGATACCTACTAGTATTGGAGAAGTTCTATCAAGTTTTGGTAGTTGTATGGGAAGCTATCTAGACATTGCAAGATTAGGTTTTGAAGATGATAGTGAGTGAGTCACTAGTTCTTCTCCAAGACAATTACTTGAATGTACTTATATGTTTAATGTATCTAGGTTAATTATGAGGGATAATAGCTTAAGTTAGTAAAGAATTTTAATGAATAAGTACTTACCATGAGTTGTTTAAGTTTTGCTTAATGAAGGTTTGAAGGGGGCATAGGAATGGTAACTTCATGTCTTACCTAGGAAAGTCTTTAGAATGACTCTAGATAGGGAAAGTAAGTTGAATAAGTAGACATGATCTAAACATACTTATTCTTAAGGATTATTTTGGTAAGCCTGGAGAGGGTGTATGGGAGGTCTCTTCTTTTATTAGTTAAGTAAGTCTTTTGATAACCGTTAGGAAGAGAATGTCATATTATATATATACTATTGTATTTATTGAGAATGATGTTATCTTAGGTAGTCTAAAGGAACTCTTAGGTGTATGTGAAAGGATCGTATGGGAGGTCGCTTGAAAACTCACTTAAGTGAGACTTAGAATCACCTTTCGGAAGAGGATATCAAGTCTATATGTTTTGATATATGCTTAATGCTATTTGTGATTTGTGAATTCTTTATGAAGTTACAGTGAAATTAATGGAAGGCTTACTGTAAGGTTATGGTATGCTCACTTAATGTTATCTAAAATGTTATAAATTGACTATGACTTGTATTGTGTTTTAAATGTGATGTTTGGTGCTTAAATGTAGTTCTTATACATTTAATGTCATGTTCTAATAGAAAAGAGCATATTTCTCATAAACGTTCGTTTCTCATGATTTTATGCATTATGCCATACTTAGTACATATGTTTGTACTAATTGCATGCATTTTGTCATATCTAAATGGGAAGGTGGAAGGTGAGAAGTGTGTTGAAGTAAATCTTTGAAGCTTGAATTCTTTCAAGCAAGTTAAAGTATGTCCTCATTTGACTCGAGGGCATAACTATATTTTTATTTTTCTTATTAAATTTATTGTAATAAACTACGAATTTCTATTTTCGTATTCTATGGGTCGTGTCCCAAGTATTCTTGACTATAAGATTGGCATATGTTGAGACTTCGTGTTTTTTATGGTTTTTAATATGAAAGATTTTTTAAGATATTTCATGTGAAAAGTTTATTTCTAAATACGATTCATACATGTACGCAATGAATGATGTCAATGGGATCCAAGAGTCAAGTACACTGTGTTTCGATTCGAAAATTCTAGGGGGTACTTTGGGTAGTTACAACTCTTACGACAACTAAAGCAATTTCCTGCGCCAACTATACACTTGCCTTCATCCTTCGTACCACACTTAGCATAACTAGGTTTCTCAACATAGGGACAACTACCTTTCCCTTGTTGAGGTTTGGGTGTAGACCCTTTACCTTTGTTCATCCTTGGGGTGTTAAAAAGGTCTTTTATTGGGAAAACACTTCTTGAACCTTGGCTTATCTTGCACCTTATAGCTAGCCATACAAGAATTTCCATATTCGGAACTTTTCCTCTACAATTCCTTACCATCTTGCTTAAGATTTTGCTTCTCAATTTGTTCGGCATGAACCATAAGATGAGAGATATCCATGCTAGGAACAAATACTCTCCACCTACATTCACTATACACAAGATCAGATATCCCCATACAAATTTGTGCATCTTCGCTCTACAATCCACCACCATAGTAGGAGCATACTTGGATTGTTGAATGAATTTGAGACTATACTCCTTCACACTCGTACCTTCTTGGCGAAGGTTGATGACTTCTTGCATTTTCCTCTCCCTTAGATGCAAGGGCACGAAAATATCATGGAAATCCACCTTGAAATCCCCTCCCCCAAGTAATCTGACCTTTTCTAACCATCCTCTCATCC